TTATTCTGCATTTATGTGTTTTTTTGTTTTTTTTGTTTTTGTCACGACTCATTTTTCTTAATGCAAGCCTACAAAAATTTCTATACTTTATGTTTTGGAACGGTTATTTTCTGGCTGTTTTTCTGATTGCGCTCATAAAGCTTGTTTTCGCCGTTGCGTCTCTGTCATGCTTGCGTGTGGCTGTGTGTGGCATCATACGTGTTGTTGTCGCTGTTTAGCCTGGTGTGAAGAACTAGAACGCCATGGCAGATGGCTGCTTGATGCGCTCAGAGAATGGTTTACCGCTTATTTTAAGCAGCTGCCATTGTAATTATGTCGCACATGCAACAAGCACTCAAACACAGCTTTTTTTTTTTTTTTATATGTGACGTGATGCAAGGTCAAGCTTTTCTCTCCTCTGCAGCTATTTTTAAACGGGAGTGTTCGAAATGACCTGAACGGGTTTTATTCCTGATTTCCTGCCTCAGTGAGATGATCTCTAATCTGATCTGCTCCATCATCCTGAGTGTCCGAGGTCCCAAATCTGAACCCTTTCGCTAAAATTTCAGCTGGTGGGTTCGTTAACTGCTTGTCAGCAGTGTTATGGAGAAGTGAAATCTTTAAAGCTGCATAAAACTGCTTTTTGAGAGGGGAAGAGAAGCATATATCTTTATGCTTTGTCTTTTATTGTTTGGGTGCGTATTCAGTGAGTACTGAAGACTTGCATGACATACTATAGCAGGTATAGGATTGCTAAGATCAAAAGCTTTAAAATTACAAGTTAAGATGCTGAAGTGAATGATTATTCTGACCTTTTTGTACTCATTTAGAATATCTGCAAAAGCGATGAAACAAACATAAACAGATTAAGGGTCTCAGTTAAGAAAGCTTTTGCATCCACATGTCTGCTAAAATGTCATCAAGCAGTGGCAGAAGAGGCTGTGTTAGAGAGATTACTGATGATATTACATAACCTGTGCACCCCCTCCTCCACACACACAAACACACAAAGCCACACATTTAATTACAGTATCAAGCTATGAATAAACGGCAAGGACAAATGCAAAAAAAAAAAAAAAAAAAAAAAGCTAAATAAGTGTAGGAGTGAGTCAGCATGAGCAGCGTTTTATAGCACAGGTGTCACTTCAGGAATAACAATGAGAGAAGCCGCCTGGCTCCGTTTCCCTCCATGTGGGATGACGTCTCTGCAGAGCCGCTTACGTCAGAGCTACAGAGCTGAGGCACACACACGCTGATGCTCTGAAGGAGAACTGGAGTGAACCTAGCTTCTGCTGTTGCTGACATAAAAAAAAAGATTCATCTTCTCCCTACAAGAGTCTTGCAGTCCAGGATTATGACTTGGGAGTTAAAATAAACGTTGGAGGAAAGTCGTTTTGTCCGTCTGGTGTATCTGATGTGTAGCTGTGGTGTGTGTTGGTTTATTTTATTTGGAAATATGCACTTTTGTTGGAACATTTTTGTAAAGAAAAATAAACTTAAAGTGAGAGACTAAATATCTTAAAGTGAACTGAATCATAAAATGGGTTTTATGTTGTGTTTTGTATCGAAGAGGATGAGGCGTAAGAAAACTTGATCTCAGTGATCTGAGAATCAGGATTTGTTAAAAAATAAGAAGCCCCATGTTTCCCTCTGCAGCCACACAACCACGTTTTTACATGACATAGTGTCTACAAACACTGTGTCACCCTGCACTATTCAGCTCGTTCATACAGCCAAACCCCTGTTTAATACCCCAGTCCTTATGTGGCTGGTGCACTGGATGCCAGTCGCTTTCTCTAAATATCTTATAATATTAAAAAAAAATAGTAGTTAATCTAATTCAGATTTTCTATTTAGGGATGCCGCTTCCTCATCCTCTTTTGTCTTTGTGCAGTTTGTCATCTCACCCTCAGTGCAGCACAATTATTTTTGCATTAACTATTTATTTTTTTATTATTATTATTATTTTGTTTGTTTCAGTTTATCCAATGCAACTTGAAGTGTTTGTTGAACTCTTCCACACTATACATTTGTCTTCTGTATTTAAAAAGACAACGATATGTATTTAAACACAACATATACATAATTTGACAAAATTATCTATTCTGGGGGAAATATCAGGCAAACACTTTGTGACATCACTGACTGTTTTTTTGTATCATATCATGTTTTCTGCATCATAATTAATACGTTTTTGGCAGACGGTATTTTCCCCTTGTGGCAAGAGCCACTGGTCTCTGAGAAGGCTAAGCTCTGTCATAAATTCACATAAATATGGACAGGTTTCCCACTAAGTCCCTGCAAAGTGACTCATTTTAATGTGGGGATCTGAGTTAGTGCAGAGATGTTAATTACTAGCCACATTAGGAGCATATCTGCCTCTGTCAGATGTGGAAGGACACAGAAACTCACATTTGCCTGCAAACACCTTCATGAATTATACCCGTTTATATAGTTTCCTGCATCCTCATCCTCTTTTATCTTTGTGCAGACCTTGTGTCTCCTTTTCCAATAAAACGAACGCATGTTCTTGCATTACATAGCGTCGACAAACAGTAGACAGTCCTGCATGATTTAGGTCATCTATACAACCAGGCCATTGTTTCACATCACAGTGTTCATGTGGCTGCATGTCTGAGACTCAGTCATGTCAGAGCTGCCTCTTGTCTTCCCTCTTTATTTTTTCATTAAATGTCTTGTCTCTTGATGGGATGCTGAGGAGGCATGAGGGAGGGCCGGGACGGAGAACTAGCTTAGATCTAAGTTTCAATGTGTTAGGATAGGCTAGATAAGTGTAATTAAATATTTTTGACAAGAATAGTTTGAGCTATTTTACAAAGTTGAATAGAGACTTCATATACACGTAAAAAAATTAGGAGTTGTTTCCTTTTCCTTTCACTTCACAGTTATGTATTACTTTGTAGTTGGCCTACAGCATAAAATCCCAATAAATGAGGAGTCCAAGGAGTATTAATATTTTTTATAAGGTATTGTAATCTAGGAAATTGCTGTTTAGTTAGATTTTTTTGCATACTTTTTTTTTTTTACCTACTTCTGCTCTGTCTTCACTCACAACCTTCAAGCTTTCTGAATTCCCTCAATGAATGCGAGGTTCTGACCACCAAGTGTATTTTTAGTCAGCAGTCGTGTATTCTCTTAACTGCTGAACATAATGATTGCAAAAGACACAACCCAGGCCAATCATGCCCTCTGCTAGAAGCACCAGTGCTTGGTGCCATCGAGGGGGAGCCGGGCAGCTCATCGAGTGTTGTCCGTCAATGGCCGCTCCAACCTCCCTGTGATTTGTGGACCGTCTTGAGTGACTGTGCGGTGATTTGTCCCCACAAGGCCGGTCCGGCCTCGGCCATTGCTGCCGTCAGCAGCTATGCTACAACTCCGCGTGAAAGCAGTATGCTGGCATTTGCTGAATTCAAGGTGGCGTCTTTTCAATTAGGGAGTGAAATACCTTTTCAGCCTCTCGAGTGGCCCGGCGAACTACAGCCAAGGGGCCCTGGCAGCATAATGATGCCTGGCACAATAGTACCACTGTTTCCCAACCGGTTCCCAGGAAACCACACAACATGTGCCATTGTGCCCTGTGCTTTGCTGCCCGGCCACGTTGCCCAGCTTACCCAGGGACACCGAGAGGTCTGTCTGTGCAGTGAAGCTCACAATGATGTGGCCGGTAGGTTTGGAGGAACGCTAGGTGAAGACCAGGGGTGTTTCACCTCACAATGTAGTCAAGGTTTGGGGGATATTTCCTCCCGGATTGAGCTACCTTGAAAAGAACAAGGCAGCGAAGCGAAATAGGCCTGAAGGAACAAAGGGCGGCAGAGCTGCTGCCAGTAATTGTTGCAGTGAGAAACCCGAACATTGTGGCTGTGCTGAACCCTCCACAATAAAAGAAGAAACCAAGAGAAAAGGGACAAACAGAGAAATGGAGGCACAAAGACAGCTTGAACTGGTCTGTAGCTGGTCCTGACTGGTTCTTCTCTTTTTATCTCACCACTGTGGGGGGAGTCGAACCGTTTGTGTGTTCCTTCTCTGCAGATCCCAACATGGTCACCATTATGGCCCCTGTTTACGCAGCACAGCAAAAAAAAAAAAAAAAAAGATCATTTAGGGCCAGCCAGACAGGGGGGATTTAGTCAACGGCATCTAGGAGATACATGTCACTAAGGCCTTTCTGGGCCCCACAAGTCAGCTGGTCAACTAATGCAACACAACAGGATACCCAGGAAATGAAGGCCTGATGCAAAGCCCAGTGTGACACGCCAAGCTAAAGGCTCTATTTCCTCTTAAGGGGTGACCTGTCACTTAATGTGTCAATTTATTCATGGAATTTGCCAAAACAGCCATGCGCTCTCAGCTCTGCATTGAAAATGGGAGTTTACTGAGTTTTTGGGATAGTTTCCACAAACAGAAGCTTTTTATTTCTTGCAATCACCCTTTATTTTGATTGTGATTTCACCACAAAATCTGAACACTCATTCTACTTTAATTAGTGCACAAAATGATTTATTTTTATAGGTGGTGGTGGTGGTGTAATGCTGTGGGAGACTTTTTCTTGATCCACTTTGAGCCCCTGAGTTCTTTGTAGTCCAGTGGTCTCCAATCGTCACCAGATTCTCAGCAAAGAATCATTGAGCCATTTACATTTTAGTATGAAATGTTTAATATGGTCGTCTCAGTGATTGTTTAGGGTCGCTACCAGGCCCTTCCAAGCATCTAAAACTTTATTGACCATCATCTTTTTGCTTAATTGATCTGTAACTTATCTCTTCTCAACGTTTCATTTGCTGAAAGGTTTGAAGTGAATTAACAAAATCTCTTGAATTTTTCAAATGACTTCCTTAATGTAACTTTTCAGTAATACATTCCATTAGGTTTTATCCTTTCGTGTGTTGGGAGACGTTTTCACCTGATGTCCAATTATATAACTTCTTTTTCATTTTCCCCTAGTGCCTGACACTGTACGTCCGAAACGCTAATTGTCTGTATTTTTATTTTCTCTCACACAGATCCCAGGAGGAAAATCAAAACATTGGCTTCAAAGCTCTTACCACTGTCAGGCATTCACTCATTTCAAAGGACAGAATATTATTTACCTGAGGAGACATGAGTGAGGACAAACCAGCTGAGACCGTGGAAAATTCCTCAGCAGAGGTGAACGCTATTCCAAACGGGAAAGGCCATGAACCTGGAGAGGAGATCGCAACATCTGCAAAAACACCTTCTGCAGAAGACTGTGAAAAGTGAGTGTTCCACATAACTGTAGTGTAAACCAATGTAATGTGAGCATAAAAGTCATGTTTAGGTCCCTAGGATATGCTAAAGAATTTAATTGCTGGTGTTTATCTGACGAAATGTAATGTTTATTACTGTTTCATAATTAGTTACTACATAGTGAAATATGCCATGCAAATAGACTTAACTCGACTTATTTAAAACAAACTAAAACAAAGAAGAGAACAGATGAAAAAAAATAGAGAAAAAGAACAACAGCACTTAAACAGACGACAGCGTACCATAAAAAGAAAAACGTAGAAAACAACAAAAATCCGTCAACCACGACGGGATTTTCAGCAAAGACCCTAATGAAGCTCTGCTTGGCACAACACTTAGGCTTCAGCTGCTGACTTGCTGTACTACAATTTGTGCTTGATAATGTAATGAGATAAGTGCCCAATTATCACATCAGGTTGTCCAGCTTTTTTCTCTTTTTTTTTTTTTTTGCACTGTTGGTGTAATAGATGGTTCAATTAAAGTTCCCCTCTCTGGGATAGAGATGATGATGATGTAGCTTTTTGTCAATGTGTTTATCATATTATGACTGTGGGTGTTGTTTTCCACTTTGTGCTCTCATTGGGTGATGGATGACCTCTCTCTACAGTGCTTGTAGAGAAACTGTAGCCAATAGCACCCAGAATGCTAGGTATGTATAAAATGATCCATAATGAGAATAGTCAATTTCACACTGATTAGTTTTGTGATAACTGTTGCATGTTGTGTCTTTGTGGTGACCAGGTGCCTGGGAAAAGTACTTTGTCATTTTATCTCTTTAAACTTTAATGCACTTTCATGGGATTTTATGTGATATGCAAACACAAAGCAGTATTGAATCATTAAGTAGAAGAAAAACATATTCTGAGTTGACCACCATTACTATTTTACTGCCAAAAAAAAAAAAGAAATGCAGTCCAATGAGTTGCCTTCACAGGTTTCTTAATTAGTAAATGGAGGTCACCTGTGTAATTTAAAGTAATTAAAAATACAGCTGTTTTGTGGAGGCCTCAGAAGTTTGTGAACGTTAATGAGCAAAGCATCATAAACAACAAGGAACGCAGAAAAAACGTCAGAGATGTAGTTGTAGAGAGATTTACAGGGCGGGATTATAAAATAATATCACAAACTTTTAAAATCCCTCTGTGATCCATCAAAGAAAATAAGTGGATGTTCCAGCTGCAGTTTGCCTCAGGTTGTAGTTACTGCAGGCATGTGAAGGAAGGTGCTCTGAACAGATGAGACCAAAATGTTACTTTTTGGCCTGAATGTAAAATCCTATGGTGATTATGACTGGAAACAGAAAGCATACCTGCCAGAGCCTGCACACCACTTGAGTCAAGGGCAGAAGTTCCTCTTCCAACAGGACCAACCAGAGTAAAGCATATTAGCTTAGAGCACAATAATGTCCGAATGGCCTAGTAAAAGTCCAGACCTAAGGCTAATGTAGAATGTGTCATGACATGAAAATTCTCAGATCCTCTCCATCTGATATGGCTGAACTTTAGGTACAGTATTTTGAAAAAATAAAAAAAGAATGGATAAAGAGTTCAGTCTCTAAACATACTTGCAAAACCCTTGTAGCTTTAATCTCAGTGAGAGATAATTTCACAAAATTGAAAACCACAAACAAATTTTCCTCCATCTGATAGCTATGAGATAATTTGGTTTTGTCTATCATGTACAAATCCCAGTAAAATCGCCTCAAAAAGTTCAAGGGATGTGAAGAGTTTTGCATGATGATACCAACACAGATGTGTCCAAAGTTTTCCCAGAATTTGCTCAGTTAATAAATAAGCCATAAAAATTCCCCCGAAAAGAAGAGATAGCTTTTGAATGATTTTTTTTTTTTTTTTTTTTTTTTTAAAAATTTTGGTTTTCAGTTTGGTCCATTTTTTTCAACCAGTTTCCAATTTTTTCTCCT